TATGCAAGAGATAATTGACCATACCATACTTTGCTATGATGGCAGACTTGATTCTCTACTACTTGACATCTGGTGTAGCTACTTGCACTTAGGTGCTAGGAGTGTAATGTGGGTGCAACTCAATATTATAAGGTTGATTACAGAGATCACACACGGCAGACAAGCTATGAAGAAACTTACTGTACACAGCAACATGTAACCGTGAATTACACCTACCACCTAAAGTGCTCCAGATTCTCGGGGATGAGACATCACCTTAACACAACATGGTGTCCAGCAAAACCTAACTGTATTCCTGTTAGCACCAAACAATTTGCGGCCTTGACTACAGCACGCAGAGTCTCTTGCCACAATCTTTCCAAAATAGAAGACTGACTGAGAAGGTTTCTTAGCTGAAAGGATAATATTCAGGCACTACATTCATTTTTCGCTTTGCTGATCCTTCCCTCCCTCTCCCACATATCCAAGGTGCAAGCCATACTAGGACAGAAGCAAAAACCAGCTCCATCTGACACTTTCAGGATATTCCAGCCTTAATATAGCATTTAGATCAAATCTGATGCCAATACATGTGCTATACAGCCAGAATATATTGCAGGAGGCTTGTTTCTTTAAGTGGACATCCTATTTACAGTCAATTACCTAAGGGTGACTTCAAATCCACTGGACGACCACTCTTGGGCAATAAGCACAATTGGAAAGTTCCTGTGACCTTAAAATGGGAGAATGTGCCACAAAAACTTCCCCCTCCCCCCGCCTCAAACTTTTGGGCTGCATAACAGATTACATCAACACAACCTGCTCAACACTGTAAAATCAGTAAACATTTTGAAGCAAGATGGGACACAAAAGACATTCTGTGGAATGTATAAAACCAAACTCAAACAGTATGAAAAAAAGTAACGTTTATTTTTATTGTTTACAAATGCATGAACACCTTATGCAAAAGCAGCATCCTGAACCATACATTTCCCTCATCCCCCTGGGATATTGGCAGAGAGCAAGCCTTTTCTCTGTTCTTTAGGGTTAAACATACTCTGCTGAGGTAAATGGGAACCATCCCACTGATTTCCATGGAGCTCCAACTGCTTACGCTAGCAAAGAGGCTGACTTATCAGACTGCAAAGCAATGAGATGTCAAATGGGTGACTTGTTTTAGGTGCAAAGTTGGGTTTGTACTTCTAGCCAAGATAAATAGACTACTCAGATACTTAACAAGCTCCCCTTTTTCCTTAGTGTTAACAGAAACAAATCTCATTTTAAATACCTGTTTAAACATTATGACACTCATTCCCCACTAACTTCATGCAATGTTTAACTTTATCCACCACGAACAATTTTACTCAAGTTTTCAAGAGCTAGCAAGTGTTCATGGCCTATATCAGAAATGAGACCTTCCAGCATAATAGCTATTTACTCCTTTCTTACCTGCCTCCCCAGCAGATGGAGGCCAAGTGCTTACTCTGAAGATTCATGCCCTAAAATTAACCTGAAAAGAAAAATGTGCAGCTTTTTTTATTTTGCCTTCATCCTTTTCTCCTGATTTAGAGCTGGAAGTGGTTAATGGTCATGTGATCAAACAGGCCATGCCTTTGAACCTACAAACAGTTATTTAAAAAGTGCTCTGGTCAGAGAATTTGATTGCAATGACTGCAAAGACTTCCCTGGAGCATGTTTACTCATCCTGTGCCCTAAAATGATCACTACTATAAAACAGCCTAATTCCTCAGATCCTCTGAGTTACCTCAGAATTTACAACTGATGCCTCAAAGTGTTTATTACACTGGGAGAAACAGCTTTGGATTGTTTGCTATCCTATGTCTAAAATAACTGACAGACACTATTTATGTCTGCAAGACTGATATTTGATCTATGGGTCAATGAAAACTGCTTCATTTTACTGGTCTAGCTGTAGGAACTGCTCTATCAGCTCCTGCCAACTTCACATTAAATAAATATAATCTACTGCACATACTGAAAGAATCTGCTAAGAATCCATATGTTATATACACACACAACGTATGTGTACATGTATATATACAGACATACATACTTTGTATTTATTTTACACTTACAAAGTGCTAGAAGAACCGAACAACTCTCAGTGCTAGAGATGAGGCAAAATGAAATGCTACTACTTATATGGCATCAAATAATTACAAGACTCTGGTGAAAGAGCTTCAGAACTGTTAGCAAAAAATTATCTTTCATTGGCAAAGAGAGAAAAGTTCCAAATGGTTTGAATTTCCGTTTTAAATAAACTGGAATAATTTTGGAAAGCAAAACAAAAAAGCCCATGCAAAGTAGATATTTTTGATTTAAATTTCATATTCTATTATTTTCATGACAAAATCCTGAGGTGCCTTGCACTCAGTGATGACTTTGATGAATCTGGCAGCATCTGTCATGTGCATCATTGTCTCAAATTTTGGAAAATAAAAAAACCTGTACAAGTTCAGCCCTGTATTCTGAGTCTGGCTGCATAGTCAGAAACAGAAATATTGCACTCAAGACAATGCCTACAAAAAAGCATATTTAATAAGGCCATAATATTCAAGATCAAAACGGGACTCAGGTCATGTGAGCAATCAAATATAATAAATAGACCCAGAAAAGCTACATTGCAGAAATTGATTCAAACCAGCAGTGTCCCAGCAATTTAACAACTGATTTTTTTTTTCCATGAAATGCCAATCTCTCCAACTGATTTTCCCCACAGGGCCAGACAACATGATGCATATGTAACACAATGCGTCGTTGCATTTGTTTTCTTGGAAGTTACCAAGTGCTCCAGAGTTTGAGGGTAGGATTCTATCCAAGTTCTGCCAATAAGGTTCAAGCTGTTACCAGCTTCAAGCAGTTTCCACACATGATGAGGGGAGAGAAGATCTGACTTACAGTTGTTTAAATATCTGCCAACATGCAAGACATGATTCTTACTTTACAAAGTGCAGCAAAGACATAGTTGAACCTGTACTGGAATACTTATCAGTGTGCTCTTTCAGAGCTAGACCACTGTAAGGGTACCAGTTTATCTGATCTGGCTTATTGAAAGAAAGAGCAACCAATTTAACACAATACAAGGAATGATACAAGTTAGCTGTCCACATCCCATGGCAAATAGCAAGAAACAACCCTTTGATTGGTGGGGTAAGCTACCCTGAATTTACAGTATGGTAAGAGTATTCATACCAGCCATTACCTTGGAGTAGCAGGTGTGCTAGCTTGCTTTGTAGTTATTTGCTCCTTTAACCATTCCAAAGTCACCCAGTCAAACAGCGTTTTGGCTTGGTTAAGGGTAGTGGCATTTGTTTAAGAAGGAAGTGCAGATCACTATCCCTCTTCCCCACACCACACTACATAAATAGAGACTTATACAAATTCAAAACCATCAGTACAAACGCTGGAAGAATCACAAGATAGAGTAGGCAGGAGACTTAATGGTCACATGCACTACAATTCAGCAGAGGCATTTTTTCCCAATCCTATATTCTGCCATAAAATTTACAGTAGTGGTGATTATGAATTACTTTCCAGCTGAATCAACTCCAGCATTAGGAATTATTTCTGAATACAACAGAGTATATCCAAACTTTTTTTTCTGGGACCTGGTTTTTGTGTTTAGGCAGGGTTTGTATAGAGACGAGACAAACCTGAGACAGATGATGTGACCTGTTTGCATATCATAAACAGACATGGATAATCAAGATGCAAGAACTATGAAACATGTCACACACTGTACACCTACAGCCCCATGTACTTTTTTATTGCAACAACAGTGTCACTTGATGGATGCAAGTTTGTCACTATGAATGTGTTTTTCACTAGAGCTGGAAAGAATGTATTTAGACAGCAACAATGCAGCTCTTGGAGTGAGGAGCAAGGAACGCTGGAGTTCAGATATGTTTACCAATTCCACCCCTGTCTTATGCTCATTACATGCTGAGCAGCCAGAGACACATCTCTCAGAAAACATTATTTACAAGAATAACTCTTTCTATATTTTTTTCACAAAGGGAACAGTAAGAAGTCCATTAATGTATCATGTAAGATGAAAAGCCATCTGAAAGACTTCTACTTATTTTAGCAGTTTTGACTAAAAAATGATTAGCACAATTACATCGCCAATGAGGTTGAAAAGAGCTGTGAATATTTTGGGAATAGTTTCAGAAGCCCACCTCTGACATTCACATTAAAATGGTGGCCTGACTACTAACAATACCTTGTCTGCAAAAATCTAAGCAAATACAGTTTTGATGAGTATCAAGCAGTAGTAGCATTTTCAACATTTTGTTTGCTGTTATTTAAGACTTTTTAAGCAGATTCTCTCTCCCAAGTGACTGTCTTGTAGTTAGCATGACTACACGTACACACAGCACTTCTACAAGGATCTACATGTTGTTTTCTCTCCACCACAATATTATCTTACCATATTCAGTATCAGTCAGCACCACAGGTTTCAGCAGGTCACAGACAACGAGCAGCAGGTCTACTTTCACTGCTTGCTTCAAACGATGTACTCATTCAAATTTGTACATTCTTAAAATGTTTTCTTCACTTAGCTATACTAAAAGTACCACTACAAAATTAAAGTTTATATTGAAAAGAGTTCTTGATGACTTGACCAATAGCGCCAAAAATCCCTTTTACTCCCACAGGAAGCCATATTTTCTCCTGAATTAGTGTTAACTGATATTTATATGAGAGGACTCCGTATTTCAGAAACCAGTTATTTAATGCTCAATATTCTTTTCAGCAGATGAAGAGGTAGGTATATTTCCATACAAGAAAAAAAAAAGGAAATAAACAACCAAACCCCCCTCCCCAAACAAACAAAAAAAAGAAAACCAAAACAAAAACAACAAACCAAACTGTAACAGACACTCAATTAAATCAAGTAATGTCTGAAAAGTCAAACACTGTTCTGACAGCACATAAAACATAATGTGTCCGAAGATACTCTTGAAGGAGGACAAGAAAAGTTGCGCATTCTGGTTAGATAATACGTAATAATTTGAAATTTAATACGTCATGGTTTGAAATTTAATAATTTTCTGGAAAGAAAACACAAGTATCCAAACGCTACTTCCTTCCCCTCCCTTCCCCAAAGAAATGTGGGTGCCAACAAAACTGCCTGTATCAATGGTAGTATTAACTTCTGGACTGCTAAACATGGAATCAACTGCAATTCTTCCTTACATTCACCAACACCAGCAGTCTACAAGTTTACAGAGACCATATGCATGGTAATGACATGATTACAATAGAAATTCAACTTTAGTGTTGTTCTTAAAGCAATCTTCATAAATAATGAAAATATCTGTGTTCTAGCTCCTCAGTAACCTAAGGTTAATTGGTACAGATAGTGTTTTTCTTTCTTTTATAAGCCAAACTGGAGGTTCCTCACTGCCAACAACGGTTAAGGCCTGGATCAAGTTATTCTCCTTTTGCTTTTCCCTTTTTCTGCTTTTTTCCATTTTCCACCACTGCATTATTTTCTGGTTTGCTTACTCCATTCGCAACAGCACCATTTGCTATTTTGCCATTCTTTACAGGTTCCTTGGGCATCTTATATGTCCGATAGTAGAAGTTACCAAACAGGAAAATGAAGGTGACAGCATAGAAAATTACACCCCAGTGCATCCACTTAGGGAAAGGACAATCAATATAAATAGACAAGGCTGTGTGGCCAATAGTCACATGGAACTGCACCTGGAAGACAGAAAATATAGAATCAGAAAGGTTTATCTATATTTTGTAGGTCTGACTGTACCAATACATACTGATGCATTAAGCTATGAACACTGTTAAAATGGGAGGCAGTAGGGAAGCTGTAATTGGCTGTCATATCACACACACACACATATGCTTGACCAGGTACATCAAATTTATTGTAGTACCTGGTACCAGTTTTCAATAATAGGAAAACAAGAAGACATTAAGAGATCTGGATTTTGTCTACCTTTTGAACGATTTTTTTGCAATTCAGATGAAAAAAAAATCAGTGGAGTAATACTAGGCTTCACTTATACAATTCTATGCTGCATATTTTTTGAGAAATTAAATAAATAATTCCATCTCCTGGAAGTATTCTAACTTGAGCTGTGAGTATCAGACAGCAAGAAACTTTCGAAAGAAGCAGCATCTGTTCCAAAGCTCTGCAAATGGAAGTCCATTCAGAGGCAATACCTCTAACATAACGGGAAAAGTTTTACTTACCAATTGCAATATGGTCAAGTATCGTTTCCACCACAGGTATTTTTGAAATTTAGGGCCACAGGCAGCTAATCCATAATACATGTACATAATAACATGAATAAATGAATTCATCTGAGCTCCGAAAAAAGCTGTCCAGAAACAGAAGGGAAGATTGCAACGTAATTTTGGGGAAAGAAAAAAAGTTGTCTTTTCTTGTATTATTGATGCGATAGTAAAAGTTATAAAGCACAGGACATGCTAGGATTCCATCTTCGAAGTATTCAGTAATATAGTATAGACCTGACTGCCAACATGTGCTGAGACAAACAGTTGTTCACGCAATTAGTATATCACATCTTTCCTGGAACTACTTATACAAAAGCTTTTCATAAGATTTTTGTTGAACAGATATAAATCATATGGATTCCATATTAGTTATTGTAGCATAGCTGAATTGTTTTGCTAGGGGATTATTAAAAGCTGTATTTGACAATGTAAAATATAAAGTATCAAGTTCTGAACTTTAATCTTTTAAACTAAACGTAAAGGCACATGGTCCACTTCTCAGCAAGAAGCCAAGAAACTCATGTGGAAGTCTGATTAAATAGGCAAAAAATAAACCGAAACAAAAAAAACCCCACAACCTACAAACCAAAACAACAAACCATACAAAGCAGAACTTCACTTGTGGTTCTAGGACATTTAAGGGCATTGCCAAGTGAGTTTGGCTGAAGTGCTCATCTTTGGTTTCCTTATTTATGACTTAAAATATCCAGCATCCTTAAATACATAAATGTGTAACTTTTTCCAGAATAATCCATGCTGAAAATAATGACAGCTCTCATTCACATTAAGATCTCTTTACTCCGTCCAGACTAGCAGCCGTTTAACAGAAACAAATTGTATCTTGTTAAATTATACTGCCAGAGAGGCTCAAAAGGCTCTACCATATAAGATTAGGGCAATGCAAACAATAGCTGCTGACATCAGACAGCTCAGATGCCCATGTGGTCTAGCCCCAGTTAGTTATAATAGGGTCTGGTTTATAACAGATCTGTCTATGTAAGCAACATGTAAACAACTAGAACACAGAAGAACATAATCTAGCCACATTTGTGGCCAGTGCTACATAAATTCAGAAGAGCAACAGTTGCTTTCCCTTTTGCAGGGGCTAGAAACTCAGAGGTAGTGTAAGAACAACAAAACCTGAAATAAATTTGGAAACAGTTGCAACTGTTGTATTGAAAGCTGATGATATTTAGCATGAAATGTCTGAAAAAGCAACAAGGGAGAGGGATAGAGGGAGTTTCTAAGTAAGACTACAAGTAAGCATCCAGTCTCCAATAAACATTGTATGGGTGTAGTAGTCAATAAAGATCATGAAATATCTCGCTGAGGACCTGCATCCTGCAGATTACTTGGGAAAGATTCAAAGATAGACACAGATGCTCATTTTAAATATTTCTTCTTTTGCATATAAGCAACCACTCAGTTCAATTTAACTATAGTAAATGAAAACATAACCCCCCATGCAGTAAGTATAAGTATGTTTTAGAGGGAAAAAAAAAGACTACACCCAAAACCAAGCAAACCCCAAAATATTAGTTTGGTGTGATGTTCATTACATGTTATTTTCTGTGTCTTAAGCCTACGAAGTACATTACAAACTCAGGCCCAAACTCAGGTATTTTTCCTGAACTCTCAGCTCTTTAGAGGCAAAACAACTGGAACAAGGGTACAATGCAGGCACAGAAGGATGTAACAAATATAACGCAATAAGATTCTTCAATGGCCGCTTTAGAAAGGAAGAGAGGAAATGAGAAAGGTTGATAATTATAGACTTGTGTCATTATGTTTTAAAAGTTGACAGATGGATTGGTTCACCTTCAAGGGAAGGTTTCAGAATTTTATACGTGCCTCTTTATAAGAAAGCAAGCAAACCCCAAACTCATATACAATGCCAAAATAACATCTCCATTAACTTCATTATATTTGCACACAGATTGTGGCCCAAAATTAGATTTTGCAGTTCTCTGTATCTGCAGATCTCAAGTTAGACAAGACACGTTCATCCTTCTGTTTCACAGAGAACAAGGATAATTCAGAAGACAGAACTTCAGGCTTGCAATTGATGAGGAACCCAAACCAAAAAACCAAACCAAAATACCGCATTTCATTAGATTATTGCTCTGTTATCTTTCCCTCCCCATGTTTCTCACAGAGGAAGACTACACACTGAAGCCATTGCACTGCTTTAGTAGTATTTAATTGATTTTGTATATTATAGCTTTAAGTCTATAAGAACTTAGTAATTCAACCCTGTGTCCAATCAAAAGGGTATGGGAGAAGGGAACTCACCTTGTCCACCTGCAACCCACTTAATGCCAATCCACCACAAGGTGAACATGGTAAAATGGTGATAGACATGAAGAAAACTAATTTGGTTAAATTTCTTCCTCAGGATGAAGAATACTGTATCCAAATATTCGATTCCTTTAGAGACATAATACCACCATAAAGCAGCAGCTATCTGCAATGAGAAAAAGACAAGGCAGAAGTTTTAGTGATTCCAAGCTGAATGGAATAAAGCTCTCTCACCTATCGACTTCAAGAGAAGGCTACCTCTTCCTTCCCCAAATCCTGGTAAAGGTTGAGATGGAGTCATCAACCATCTGACAGTATGAGAACAACAAAAACAATACTCCATTCACCTCGTCTGGACATGGAAGCATCATGCTGAACCTACTGCTCACAAATCACAACCGTAAAAAAGAGCTAACATAATTAAAAACTTTGCCATCTCTGAACAGTTTACCAGTTAAATAGAGAATGTGTGCCTTAACCGGCTATCCTAAACTTTGCCGGGAAGACTACCACAGGGCTTTCGCTACTAATGAGGACACACTTTGATGTGGTCAGAAGCAGCAGAAACATTAAGATAAAACAAAGTTGCAAGGGTTGAAACCTTGTATAACATTCTTTCAGCACCACAGGCATGTGGGCGAGAAGATACCAAATCACTTACAAGCTGGTATGGTATAGATTTCACTTCCCTTAGACCAATATTCCCCCTCAGCTGTTTCTGGCATGCTCAGTAATCCGCTCTGGAAAACAACATTTCCCAGTGGCTCTGTGCCACCTGGGGAGTAGGACTGAGACCATAGGATCCACACAAGCTGCAGAGATATAACACATCTACCCAGCAGGGTAATGCTACACACCCAACATCCTTTTCCTAATCCACCCATCACAGTGAATCTTGCCCAAGATGCAACATAAACAAGCTTCCTGCTGAAATCAGGATATTGTTGTACCAGGTAAAGCCCAGAAGCTCTGCACAGCAATTTGCTAATACTATGATATGGGGGTATGGTGACGGTAGGGACTCCCTTCCAGATCCCAAAGCATAACAAGTAGTCTAGTTCCTGGCATAATAAGTCATCTAGCTTGTTATACAAGGGTGGGACCAGAACATGTCCCACATGACTCATACAGAGAGTGAAAGAGAAAAAAGGACAAGGACAGCAGGCAATGTCACAACACACTTATTTGTAAGAAGCTTGCCTGGTCTTTCAGGACTCATCTGATGGCAAATCAGACTTCCTTACCTTAACATGGTGTGAAATAACACTGCCACCCCCTCAGTCCCCAGGGGAGACAGTAGCTTCCCTTCTCAAATACATACATACTGTTAGGCAAGTGAGAGAAAGGGGAGTCAAGGGAACAAGCAGTACAGAGTAATGCTACAGCCCTGCATGGTGTTTCCCTCCACCTTAAAAAAACAGTGAGAAATGAATGAGCCTCATCTAAGAGTGAGTTTGTCACAGCCATTTCTGGACTGGTGAATGTTTTAAGACAGATTACAGCAGAAGCAAAAAAGCAGCATTGGAGCAAAACAACGCCGCAGATCTGCATTGCAGACTCTGCAGTTTCCCAAAGGGACTGCACAACTTACTGTTGCCAAACTGCAGAGTTTTCTGCATCCATTAATGAATACTCTTCTTGCTCTCTGGATATGATTTACCCTACTTCAGGTTTCAGGGAGAAGAGGCAGATTTTGACTTTTTTTTCTTTTATATAAAGATACTAATTATGTGTCAAAACTGGAGAGAGGCTTAATGACAGAAAAGTGACTCCCACAGATCTCGGAGTTCCCAAGACACAGGCAATCTGCAAAGACCATATATATGATGTTGCTCAATATCCAGTGCAGTTCTGCCTCTGGGACAGATAGTCAGGTATTTAATAACACCCATATCAAGACTTTGTCTCACACCCATGGATTTTGCATAACAGCCCAGCATCTTTTACAGATCGCTGCTAAAGCTGCATCTCTTAAATTAAGATAAGCATCTTTTCCTCTCATGAGTTAACAATAAACACTCTGGACTGTATCCATTAAACAACAAGCCAGTACTACAGTACCAAAGCTCTTTGAAGATCCTTCCTTCTGAGAAACTTTTAAAGAATCAATAGGTCATTTACAAGAAAACTTTCTAAACTCTCTTATAAAGCTGATGTGCATTTTGTTAAATGGAACAATGAGCCAAATAGCCACCAAGCAAATAGCCAATTTACTGTACAACATATAGCAAAAATGTAAGTGGAGAAAAATCCAACAAAATCCCGTATGTTTTATGGCCAAGCTGCCACAGATTCACCATATCACAGAATCATAGAATGGTTAGGGCTGGAAAGGACCTTAAGATCATCTACTTACAACCCCCTGACATGTGCAGGGATGCTTCACCCTAGACCATGTCACCCAAGGCTCTGTCCAACCTGGCCTTGAACACTGCCAGGGGTTTACCATTTCAGCCTGTTCCAGTGCCTCACCACCCTCATAGTAAAGAACTTCTGACCTGAACTCCCCCTGTTTAAATCTGAACTCATTACTCCTTCTCATATTGCTACAGTACGTTCCTGGACAAGTAATTTCATACGCTTCCTTCTCTTTTGAATTCTACCTGCTTTTCGCAGAATGCAATTACAGCCCATGGATTAAAATCAGTTGAACTTTTGATTAAAATGCTTCACATCACTTAAAAATAGTCTACATCTCTTTGCAGGATTATATCAATTGATTTTTGTGTTCCTGTATAGTTTTTTGCCTGATAGCTCTTTTGCTGTCTTCCTATAATTTAGTGTTACTGTCATTTATTCTCAAACTTGATAGGTTTTGTGCACTGATGATCTATTTCAGTATTCTCAATGATGTATGCAGATGTTTTGATCATTAGCTTATAGATTCTGAAAAAAATGAAACAGATGTTAGGTCATTTGCCTGAGGTCATGCATGCAATCACTGGCAGACAGAAATAAAACAGAAAATACACCAATATGTAAAATATGTCAGGAAGAGATGTTACTATTAACCTTCTGCGAAGCATAAAAAATTAGGACCTAACCTGTAGCCCTTCTTTGGGCAAAGCATGAAAGAAAAAGACTTAGCTTAAAAGAAATTATACATTGAAAGGGACATTCCTGAAATGAATAATGCTAGTCACAACCACACCTTTTCTGGCACTTTTCATAGCCACCAATCTAAGTCTGTTAAAACACCAGATGGCACAGAAAGATTACATTACAGCCTAGGATTAAGGGGTTCAATAAGAGCTCCAATTCCATGACCTCTCCCTGCTGTAGGGTTTTTGAACAGAGGCTTGTTTTAAGATGGGCCTCCATTCCTGCATCCTCCTTCCTCATTTCAGGTTGGAAGGGGTTTGAGGGGACAGGTACTACTTAGGAGTTAACTGTTACATAAAAACTAAGTGGCTTTTAAAAAGAACTCTTTTCCATGCTTCAGCTAAAAATTTTGCTTACAGGACCATGAAGTCTACTTTGTTAAGTAAAGTTCTCTTTTCACAGGAGTAAATTATTATTTATTTCATAAAAAAGGAACTACTCATGCCCTAGACAAATACAAACAATGCAGATTACAATTACAATACAGAAGGCAACCATAGCTCAGCTTTATGATTGCAGTCAGCACACTTAAAAGCAGGAACTAATTCATAGAGTTCCAGATCCTAATTCACAGTTCTCCAGAAACACTAGATGAACCTTGACCTGGGAAACAAGGACACGCAAACACGAGCAGGGGCGAAAAGTAACTACTCACAGACACTAACATGCTTTAAGTTAGACAGAGTCAGGAAATTGTTCACTCCAAATACTGGAATTTCCAAAGGAGTATTACAAAGCATTTTAAAATAGCTTTTGCAGATTTATATTACAAAAATGATGATTAAGGGATCTTGAGCAGGTTTGGGTGTTTTTTTCAGTTCTACAGGACCAAAACTCAACAACACACCTCCTAAACATGGGGCATGATACACTGTAACACATACCAGAAACGTATCCCAGACTCTTTAGTCAGACAAGGTACAAGGTGTTTTTTTCTACTTGAAACTTATTTGCCTAACCTGTGAATTCATTCCAAAGAACTACCAGGGTAGATGGGTATATATATGATATATACCCATCTATATATAGGATACAGTATGCATATGATACAGGTATATATGATATAGTACGTATAACATACTATGCAGTTGCTGCAACATTTTGAGATAATTCAATTTTCCATGCTTCCTCAATTCTCTCAGATGCAAACCGAGTATGTTACAACTTAAAACTTTATAAACACAGTTTATGAGGAACCACAAGTTTGCAAAAAAAATGAAAAAAGTCAGGAAGTCTGAAGAGTAGACATTGCTAAAGCAACCTTTCTTTTCTGGACATACCACATGCAATAAATACATTGTGCAGGTCGTTTTTACTTTATTTCATTGTATAATAGGGCTTTGTTTGTCATAACAAACAAACCAGGAGATAATTGTTTTGAGCAGGTCTGAACACTCCACAGCATCCCACAAATAAGTGCATCTAAAAGTGAGTCTGTGAAACAGAATTTTCACGTATTAAATGTTATTACATCTTATGCTTCACTAATATAATAATTCCTTCAATATATGCCACACCAGTCCTCAGTGTCATCCAGCTGATTACAATATTTTATTTTGCTGATCTATTGAAAAAAAAACAACCCCACCCTCTGGAGGGTTACACTTGGATAGCTTTTGGTTGTTTTTTTTTTTTGTTTTTTAAACAAAATTATTAACAGAAGTATTCTAATGATAGAAATAGCGAGTGAACAGTATTGGTGAAGGTGAAAGACAGCTGACTACCATGAGGCAAAAAAATCCATAGTTTTTCTGCAATATCAGACATTATACATAATGTGTAAGAATCAAATCTATTCTTCTCACCACCACCCCTGCCACATGCATAAGTTTTGAGTAATACTACCCATGAACACCATTTTGAAATGTGCTATGAATATTAAATGTATTTAGACTATAAGACACTTTCATTGCATTTTCAAGAACATGTTCTAATCTGTATGTGAAACTTGCAAGAAAAGCTAAGAGATTCTCAAGTGTCAGCTCTGTCGAAAGATAAGCTTTAGTACGTGAGCTAACCAACAGCACTGTGGAGATTATCAAGCATAGGCACTTTGATTTTAATTTGAATGCTTTCCAAAAGCCACATATTTGAAATCCGAGCTTCTACAATGAAACATACTGCCAGAAGCCAGCAAAACCTCAGGAAGCCAAACATGGGTAAAGGAGACAAAAAGTTGCCTCAACAGTATGAGTTAAGTGCAACCACAGTACACGCTGACAAATCTTACTTGCTTTGATCAAGCTAGAACACCACACCTTTACTGCGGTTAGCCTGGTATTGTAAACTTCAACATGGTCTAGGAACCAAGGTATGCATACAAAGTTTATCCTGGATTGTACAACTGCAGATGAAGCCAAGGATGGTATCTTTAAGACCATCCTTGCTTCTAGCAGTCACGTGAAAGTTAATGCAGATACACTTAATGCACTTTGCTTATACCTGCTACGTGCAATGTAGTCATACCTGAGGTGGCCTGTGAGAATATAATGAGATACAGTCATAGGCTGACAGCAGAACTCCAGAAGGACTATTTTCAGCCAAGACTTAAACCATCACATAGTGCTATACATTACACACATTCATATACAAATACAAAAAAAGATATACTCACCCTAACTTCATAAACATTATCTGAATAATCCACAGTCTGGCAGACATAGCTGTATCCTCGAGCTCTTGATGACAAAAACAGCTGAAAATATTAAAGTCATACATGAGAGGAAAGATGCTACATAAAACACTCGTAACAATTATTAGCAAGTTTTTTGCTACATCAAACTTATCTGAACAGAAAATATCCTTCTCGATCCTGATAATACTACTGAAGTTCTAACAACATGTTTTTAGACAGTGCCTATTTTTACTTGTAAATTAAAAAGAAAGTACTCACTTTTCCCTGCATGTTACCTGCTCAGAGGCCTGTACAAATTTGTAAGAACTCCAGTATGACCTTAAGCTATTAAAACCTGAGTATTCTTTCTGATAGCTCTAGCTTCACAGACATAAAATATCTTAATATTTTCACTATGAATGACAGAACCACTATTCCTGTGATGGATTTGAGATAAGTGTGTCCAAGAGACAAGGATTACATAATTCGGGTTTACTATTCTTACATATATAAAAAAGCGTATACCAGTCAAAACCCCAAAAACCCAAAGCCTGAACAGCCAGTGCTGAGCACCCATAAAATATATTGAGAGAAACCAAATGAAGAAAGATTCCTATTTCATGCCAACAGATATGGCCTAAAGCACATGAAGTGCTCCTGTAGGGCCACTCCAAATAAAGTGCATTGCAATAACCTGAACAGGAGAAGATAAGCTTGATATTTGAGCAAGGTCCCATTGGAAAGAACAGCACTTGCCTAGAACTGTACAAGTAATACTTCTAATCTTGACATTCACAAATGTTATGATCCAAGATTGTTTAAAGACATGTAATCCCACCCTGTCATTCTTGAATGCTTCTGGTAAAGACAGAAGTGGAGCAGACATAACCTGTAGATTGTGAGCTGTGAAAGTAAAGAAGGGTAAAAAAAAAAATAAAGAATCTTCAAAATAAACATGGGTCAGCACTGACTATTTTTACTGCTAACCTGACCTCCTTCTGATTTAGATTGAACTTGAGTTTACTTCAGTATCTCATCTTGTAGACAGCAGTGGGGTGCAGTAGGAAACCTGTTCTTCATTCAGGTGCAGAGACAAGTGTTATTCAGATAAAACCAACACACAAAACCTTGGGAAACTCTGGACTTTTTTGTTGTATGTCCGTTAAATTAGAGAAGTGAAAGAATGGTCCAAAGAAATGACCCCAAGAAAGACACTGAACTACTGCATCATTTGAGCCCAGCTGCAAACTGCTGTAACACTACTACCTCCCAGCGCGGTCAGACACAGGCACATGTGTAGGACCAGAGGAGAGCAGGAAACAGTTCAGTCCACACTGTTACAGAAACTAACCAACTCTACTGTTAACTACTGGGTAATTTGACCAAGGTTCATTTGGCAAAAGGCAGTAAATTGACTTCACTAGACTGCCTCAAAGTAAAACAAGAAATTCAAGATTTTGTGGCAAAATAGGGACTACACATTTGGAACTTCTGCATGTTCTAAGCAGGATTTGCTTCTAATTTTAATCTGAATTTGAGTCCAACATACAGGACTACACAGCCTAGCAGTGTTTTATGGACATTTTTAACATAAATTATTACAGACGAACAATACAGCTTACCTTCAGGATACTTATTTGAATAACATTTAAAGGCATTTCACATTCAAATTCTCTTTGCAGCAATAGCTGGAAACTTTAGAGTCATTCACAAAATACAAACTGCATATCATTTAACTCATATGAATTACAACAGTGGCACACTGGTATTGTAAACCTCATGTCAACTGAAGCAGAAAATGCCTGGTTAAAGGGAACAGTTGAAACTTCCTCCTATCAATCTCTAAGATTAGGAAAAGACATTTCCTATACGTGTTGTATCCATAGCCTTAACATCCATGTAACAACCACCTACCATTTTAAATAGCAGGAAACTAGAACCTGTGTCTAAAATTAAAAGCTTTCAGCCTATCAGCAGCAAACACCTATTTGCAGTCCCATTCATTTTTATGTTAATTTGGCAATTTGGAAATGCCATACAGACTCAAGTGTTACGCTATAAGCAACAAAGGTTTGAAAATTAACAGATCTTAAGTCTGGTATAATTCAGCTTCTGGATAAAACAAACCAGATTAAAAGAATATGTGAAAAGTACAGGCATAGCAAGAACTGCAGAATTCATTTCAGAGGAGTTTCAGTTTTAACCTGTGAAGACGATTGGATTTCATCCATTCCCACAACTATCCTTAGGTGTCAGCGTTAGATTCCGTTGTTCCTGTAGTATCTTATTACTTAGTTGAGTAGTGCAAGGAAACAATGTAGACAAAATGATGACTGAGGTGGGATGGCCAATATTTTACTGATCCATGTCTTAAAAAAAGGCTGAAATCAGTTAATTACTTTATTATAAAAGATCTGGGGAAAGATCATTATGCAGATCATCATATTTTGCCATACTTTCCTGGCAAAAGTATAGAACAGACCAGGCAGAAAGAAAGAGCTCTGCAATGCTGTAATTTTAACTGCTCCATTCATTTGGTTACTTCTGGAAACGGATTTTCAAATTTATGATCTGAGGTCTTTCAAGAAGAAGAATCACAATCCACATAAGCAAAGTCACAGCAGCATATACTATTCCTTAGCATCAGCTATATTTTGGGGAGCTATTCTTGACTAATGATTACTGAACTGTTAAGTAAGCCCATTTAGCTACTGTTAAAGAGCTGATCCACTGCACTGTTACTAGTCATTTCCTCTGTACAGAAAACTTAACAAAGGAAAAATGCAGCAACATTGGAATTTATTAAAACACTCAGAGTGTTGCAAAACATATTAGAAGACTGGATTCTTTTAAAGATATACTTCGTTTTTATTCTTATTCTAAAACATAACTTATAGCTGAGATACTACTTTTCCTCACTACAATGGATGTCTGATTTTCTAAAATTTATCAGCACACGGAAGGCATCAACAAACAGCTCAATTTCTAACAAGATACATCCTGACACCCTTTAGGATTATTAAAAAGTTAAAAAAAAAAAGAAATCAGTTGCAAGCATTAAACCTCTATGGGTTTTAGTTAATCTGTCCAGTATTTACACTAACATAAACCTAAAAAGATCTTGGAACAGCTAGTACACAAATTTTCTCTATAGACTCATTTAGTGCATTTATTCTCAAACACATGTACCTAGCTACAGAAGCACTCACATGAGAGGCAAACTCAGCTTTATAGAAATCTGTGCAAAACATTCCCTGTCAATAATCATAAATATGTGAGATTATTTTCATACTGCAATCTGTAGACACCCTCAGACTTCAACAGGAATTCCCTCCTGTGAAAGGGTATACACACCTCTTTGAAAATGAAGAAGTTGAGTAGAACCATTCCAAAGTTGTAAACAACCAACAGGAAACGTAACTGGAAGGGCTCTCTTGTCTTCATCCATTTGGGGCCCAGCCAGACAGTGAGGAGATAAATAGTGCTTATAGTCAGTGTTGGAAACGGAGACTGCATCAAAGGCCAATCATCAACACGTTTGTCTGGGGGGGTGAAGCAAACAGAAGGAGTCAACAAGGGCTGAAAAAAATATATTTCACCATCATTTTATGCATTGCATTTGTCAAGTATTATTCTCTCCTGCAATAGCTGAATGAGACAGTAGAAAAACAATACACTCATGCTTTCTAGGAAGGTTAAAGAAAATAATTGAAAAAAAAAAAACAACACCAAACAAACAACAAACCAAAACACAACACTATATCACATTAGCTTACACAGAGGTTCATAATGTCATGTAAATTCTGTTGCTCAGTTCTACAGTCCAAAACAACAAAGCAAACAGAATCACATGAGCTCAATTACAACCCAACCCACTAATTCCCTAAAATCTGACTTTGCTTATGATGGACAGTGACTGCAGCAGTAATGCAACCAAATATTCAACACCACTGCAAATGAAAGATACACAAATCTGGCATACCTGATAAAATTAGTACCTTTTATTAGTTTAAAATTTGGCACTAGAAAGCCTTCTATTAATTTTATACAGATTGTATGATGATAACCAAGCACCTTAGCTATATAATGTAGGTCAGCCTCACGTTTCAGATAAAATACTAACAATGTTACTGGAACACAACTAAGAGTTTAAAGGGATGGTTCTAGTTAGAGTAATCTGTGGTGCCATATGGGACACAAAGATTTTTACCTCCAGTCTCCTGTCACTCACAGGATCCAGAGTTACACATATTCTAGGGCTCAGAATAAGCTGTATTAAGTTCTGGATCTGTACCAAAAACCCCCCAACAAAACACCAAACCACTTTCAGCCTGATGAACCAGTGACATCTAAGATTAGAAGATGTCTCTGCTACAGAAGAGGTAAGGGAGAGACTATAGTGACACCTCCTTATTCAGTGCTTCCTCCCCCCCTCCATATGAAGGCTGATGTGTAGCCATAGTAAGAGACAAAAAGGTAACTAATCCATAACTATCAATACTTAAGATACTGCACAGCTGTACGATACTAACAGGATTATTTTCCAGATGCTTAGGCCAGTCGGAGTTCAGATGGAAATTGCACCACAGGGCTCATTGGGAACCTCAGACATCTAGAACACCTGCCTTCAGTCATTTGTGGGCAAATTCACAAATAGCAGTGCAGTTGCCCAAAGACTTACCTAGAGGAAAAATTTCTTTTGGAGAACTATAATCCAAAGACAGTGTAAAAAACCCGTCTACCATAAATTAATTCCTGTTCCCAGATGAACTAACAGGTCAGAAAGCGCTTTTTATCTACAAAATAACTCTGTTGCAATGAGGAAAGTACAAAACAGCACTGCCATTACTCCTCCTACACTTCTTTCTTGTTTCCTTAGTTGCCCTTAAGATCATAAATTAGAACCTCATTTTAGAAGCAGATTTCATGAGACTCTATTTCTAATGAACAGCACGTATCACGATATACGGAAAGATATACAGCGTGCAAGGCACTAACTCTTCTTGCTCAGACACTTGATCTGCACACTGCAAGCAAGATGCTAGGAGGCCTAAAAAGAACCGAAAAAGGAGAAAGAGAAATCAGCCTAGCTGCTTCCATCACGGCTATTAATATCAGAAGAGGGAAGTCATCCTAATGCATGGAAACCTCCACAAAGGCTTACACAGCCAGGATAACAGGAGTCACCCCTGAGACCACAGCCACCAGCAGAAACTAAGGGTGACAGGGCAAGAAGTAGAGAGAAGCAGCAAAAAAACTCAGATAGATTGGCTGTAGAAACATAGACATTGAAACAGAACTGAAGAAAGATAGAGAAGACAGTTACCTCTTACTTTTCAACAAGTCCCTGGAACAAACACTTCTATTACAATTTAATGTACTGTCTGTAAAATATGAGAACATTTGCTTTATGCTACAGTGTCTTGAGATGTAAAGGAACAGCCCAATTTTCCAGACATCACAGAATACTACTACGTAACCTGAAATCACACTGCTGCACTGTAATCATTACACTTCCTTACACTTTAGTTCCTGGTTGCTTTTAGCTCTACCAATCCGAATTTGAAAATAATACACCACTTAGGAGACAACAGAACTGGAGAACCTCATCATCCACCTGTAACATAGTAATGGGCAAGGACTCATCTACACTAAGCAAGCAGAATGGTGTCACTTCAGACACTGTAGTGTGCAAAGAGTTAAGAGTATGTGAGGCAAGAGACCCACTTACTTTCCCAAACACTCTTGCACTAAACAGTATAAAGAGGCAAGGACATGTAAGAGAATCTACCTTCCATTTTCTAACCCAGTGTTTCATGGTATCCTGAATGCTAAAGTGACAGTATGAAAAACATGAAAAGGGAAGAAGATTAGAATTTTGCCCAGTAGCTGAATGTTACCACCCACTGCTGAAAGTAGGAAGCTATGAACTATTCCAGATTTCTTTTTGTGGCAGGCGACAAAGATTCTAGAGGGAAGAACGAAAATTCACTAGTGGGTGAAAGAAAAGACAAAGGGACAACTTTAATAAAAGCCCAGCTGCAAGTGGGCTTTGCTCATACTTCATCAGCACTGTAAACAATTAATTCACCTACTTTCCACAAATACTACAAATAGAAGAACTGGGGAAAACCAAGAGATGTATTTAATTCATTCTGACAGTAAGATAAGAGCATCTGAGCAGCTGCCATTGCACTTCTATACCTGTATCATGGTTTCACAGCCTATTACTTTCCCCCTGCATAGGGTTTTGGACAGTGAGCCACCGCATCTCAGATACAAATCTTAAAATATTTGCAAGAAAAGCACAGCTTGATGATACAGACCACATAACACTGCCCAGGGAAATTATCTGCCTGGGACTTGGGGGACCTGACCCCTCCTAGGGCAATTAATTACATTTTGAATGCAGAATACGTATATGAGGGAATGTAGTCGGCAATTCAGTTCTGGAGTACATCCTGGCCAGAAAGCATGTCAATAGTCAAAAAGTTTATTCTAATTACTACTGTGCTAAAAACACCACCTTGCATTTATTTTAAGGGCATTTTGGAGACTAGACACATGATTATTTTTTACTAATAGTGCGGCACCAGAAAACATGCTCCATCCCTGGCAGTGTTCAAGGCCAGGCTGGACAAGGCCTTGGGTGATATGGTTTAGAGCAAGGTGTCCCTGCCCATGGCAGGGGGGTTGGAACTTGATCTTAAGGTCCTTTCCAACCCTAACTATTCTATGATTCTATGCTCTTATTCATTCCCAAATTTGCCAGATTTAGAAACTTGCTCATCGCAAGATTTCACCTGCATAATGCAAACTAACTTACTCAGTTTCCAATCAGTGCCATTCACTATTTTTACTGCACAGAAGGCATTACAAAACCAATTTCATTTCAGTTTACTAGGCAAGCCTGCTTGTCCATGTTCTACACAGAAAACACAGTTAAATGCAGACCCTTGTTCTATACTTCTTTTCAGATACCCTCTTTCGAACCAAGATAAATTCACTCTCAAGTCATCTTCTTAAGTGACAAACCTCCCAGGCTACTCCAATACCCTCATCCCTGCCATCCCCAACCCTGTTGCAGCAAAACCAGCGTAATTTTGTGTTCTCTTTACTAGCTGGAGCTGATAAACACAAATGATTTCTACAAATTACAGAAAACTGTGAAAGCTTAAGGGGACATACAAGTGTATCAATTCCTGCAGGACTTTGCATGCAATAAGTACATTATTACCTGAAAGGTGAAATAAGCTTGAAATAAAAAGGCCAGATCCCCAAATTAAAAAATCCCTCCAACTGCTTTGAAGCAAAATGACCAGTGCCTTTACCTGATTAGAATTGACAGAGACTGACTGAATCTTTCAGGAGATTAATGTGTTTGTCTTTCAAATCCTAAGACCCAGATTCTAATTCAATCACAAAGAAAATGTCTGTTGTGATAGCACAAACTGCAGTAAAGTGTTTTCTTTTTTGATAAGGTGGAAGAAGCTTCACAACAAATATTTGAGGTTGCAGTCAATAGTAAACATGAGTCCAGAGTAGAATAAGGCATCTGGTAACATGTTTCTGCTAGGAAATTACTGTTATGTAAGGGAAGAATATGCAATATTTATATACACAAGGTTTTCCTGCCATTTTGTGTATACATATCTTAAAGTTTCACATTGCAAAGACAGGAAAAAACTATATTTTAAATATGTATATAAATAATTTGAAACGTCCTGAAGCACCTGCGCTTGCAGGATTTAATTCTTCACGTGGGGCATTTAACAGGAAACACATGAACACCTCAGATTTCTTCTTCCAAAGAAAGAAGAGCAGGACCAGTGAAAAGGACGGAATATCCTATCTGGTAATGTCCAAAGAGGACATAATTAACCTACAATGAAATATGGAAGTCAAATGAAGATAAATTTTGGTAAGTAAGGCTGCACTGATGGTGATCTATAGTTAAAATCCACAATAAATTTCTGTGAAACATACCATGTATTAATATGCAAATACTTCTGTTTAAGGTGGTTCAGCATTTTCTTTCCAGTAAAGAGGATCTGAGATGTTACATTTCCTATGTATTACTGAGCCTATGATTTATTTTTTTTTAATTTCCTCAAGTACAAACTTTAAAAATAAGCAAACAGATGCATAGCACAGTTGTTCCTAGATTCATCAGAAATCCTGAAACAGTATAATGGTGAAGATCTCTGCTTTTAAGATTAGTTTTAAAGAAAACATTACATAACTAAAATATATGACCTGTGAAATTACCTGCATTTTGGATCAAGATCAGATTCAAAATCAACACTTAGTCTTTATTTTTACTTTAACAACATACGTATTCCTTGGCTATAAAGTCGCTACTCACTAATTTATCTGGAGAGCCTTTCAAAGTTATTAATAGCTATTGATACTATTCTCGGCGCAAAGACACTTACAGTGCCAATCCAGCACATCCATCTGTCCAATTACATTTCTAAAGACACTGCAGAAATTACGGTGACTGTTTAAAAGTGGTTGTTAACAGTGAGAGCTCTCTGCAGAT